ATAATAATAATAATAATAATAATAATAATAATAACAATAATATCAGAACACTGATATTACTGAACATTAATGGGGGCAGTAGTTGGTTGAGGGGCTATGCTACAAGCCGGAAGGTCGCGGGTTCAAGTCCCGATGAGGTCATTGGATTTTTTTCAGTTGACCTAATCCTTCCAGCCGCACTAGACCTTGGGGTTTACTCAGCCTCTAACAGAAATGATTACCAGGAATTAATTAAATAATTTTCCTTAGGAGTAAAGAGCGGCCGGTGCGTAAGGCTGATAACCTCACCGCCATCTTTGAGCCGATTGTCAAGGTAATGTGGGACCCTCGACGTCTCACAATGCTATGGGCCTTCACGGCCTTTACTTAGTTTATCAGAACACTTTGAGGGAATTTGTTTGCATTTAACAATAAATTGTGATGGTGTGAAATAAGTATTATAGGTTTTTTTTTTAAATTGCTTTTGATCCAAAATGCGTCCTAAGTTCTCCCCGTCTTACACAAAGTGACACGGGAAGTCCCCGTACACAAGTTCAGAACCAGGAGCTCATAAGCTTCGTAAATATGTCTCCTGCTGTTGGACAGTGATATATGGAGCCACTTGTTGATTAACAAATCTTCCCTAAGACGAGAGATGCAGTGAGGTTCTTTTGGGCCACGTGACCTCCACGAGACACTGTCACAGTGCGACGTGACTGAATTTCTGTCGGATTTAGCTTCATCATTATCACAAATGGCAGAGGCTCTACATATTTGAAAATGCAGTTCATGTGGATCTTCATTCTTTGATAACAGTGTTTTTAAATACGTAATTAAAAGGCCGCGCCATAGCTCAGGCGGTTAGTCGCTTGCTTCAAACCGCGGCGGCCCGGGTTCAATCCTGAGTATGGTCAAGTGGTATTTGTGGTGGACAAAGTGGCGCTGGGGCGGGTTTTCTCCGAGTACTTCGGTTTCCCCTGGCAATCTTCATTCCTCCAAATTCTCCATCATCATAATTACCCAAAGCAGGCTACACTAGGCCAATCAGTGGTCGCCGTGCCGAGTGGATCCAGTAGGACTCCACCCCCACTAGCGAATTAAAAAAAAATGTAATTAAATTTCAATGATAGGCATTTGAATATTACTGAGGACCTCGGGCATGCGCGGAATATTAATTAATAAGGAATACAGATTTAGACGAGAAACAAGATGAAATAACACATAAATAAATAACAGCAATAATGCAACGATCGACTAGGAGTGTCAAGAAATCGTAAAAGGAAGGAGAAGTACAAATATTGAGATACGAATGAAGACATGTACGGATAGGACAGGAAGGCTGAAAGAATTATATCGATTCGGTTCGAAATAATTAAGACAATAGTATATGGACGACAGAACTAGCGTATATTTGAAGAAATCCTTCTTCTGGGCTGACAGTCTGTCAGAATCTGCCCACGCTGGTTCTTTCTTCTACCCTGAAGATGGAGGCGATAAGTTCCTCCGAAACGTCGGTTAACACAATATCTACACGGCGCCACATCCCAGAAGACCACTTTCTTTATAGTCACCGCCGTGAAAACCTCAAATCTTACATAGCGTTATATACATAGCATATATATTACATAGCGTATATTTGACGGAATCAATATTCGAAACCAGACGAAATTCGTAGGTTGAAATTAGCAGAGAACGTTATTAAATCACCAGATGTACTGTATATCATGTCTTACAATACTGACAATTCAGCAGTCTAAAACTTAAATACATTTCTTTCTAAAAATATTGATTTTGCGACGCATAAAAATTATACGAAGTCTCTGCCCTCGGGCCGCGCCATAGCTCAAGCGGTTAGCCGCTGGCTTCCAACCGCGGAGGCCCGGGTTCGATCCCGGGTCTGGTCAAGTTGGATTTGTGGTGGACAAAGTGGCCCTGGGGCAGGTTTTCTCCGAGTACTTCGGTTTCCCCTGCCAATCTTCATTCCACCAATTGCTCCACAATCACCCTCACCTATCACCTGGGGCTTGTACAATAGGCCAGAAGTGGCCGCAGTACAAGGGACTTAGTCCGACCCCACTAGCAATAAAATATCTCTGCCCTTGGAAATTTAGTGTTTGTTTGGTTAAATTTTTTTTACTCCGTTATAAGCAGTGCACGTTGGTCTAATGATAATAGAGGGCACTGGATTAGAGTAAAGACGCATTTCGTTTGTATGGAAGCTGCCGTACCGTTGTGCTTCTGTAGTCGTGCAGCACAGTAACGGCTGCGCAGTCTGCAGTGTTCTGGTATGTCATATCCGTATTCCTGTTTGTTTCAGGAGACGAAGCGTGAAGTCGCAAGTTTCACTTACGAGTAAGTACAAATATCTAGATATCAGATTTTATTGTCTACATTCCTTATTTTCTTATAAATAAAATAATAAATTCTGGTATTATATTTATCTCATTAAATGACGACTGTTTCGGTTTCATTGTATTGATAGGAAAAGTTTAGGGGCCACATAAAATTATATACATGAAGCCACGCTTAGCGATTCTTCTATTTTTTTGTTGTTGCTAGTGGGGTGGGACTAAGTCCCTTGTATTGCGGACACTTCTGGCCTATTGCACCAGCCCCAGATGATAGGTGAGAGCGATTGTGGAGCAGTTGGTGGAATGAAGATAGGCAGGGGAAACCGAAGTACTCAGAGAAAACCTGCCCCAGCGTCACTTTGTCCACCACAAATCCCATTTGACCAGACCCGGGATCGAACCCGGGCCGTCGCGATGGGAAGCCAGCGGCTAACTGCTTGAGCTATGGCGAGGCCGATTCTTCTATTACTGACAATTTCATCACACTGTGCCATTAAACCACTATTAATATATGCATTTAAATATTTACTCGTCACGTGTGTTGCTCTTTACTCCCTTCTTTCTTAAGACTTCTTCCTTAATTCTGATCTTCTGCTTCATAATTCCTTTCTTGTCTGCTCTTCCTGTATTCATTCCTACTATTCGTATTCCATAACTTATTTTTCTTCTTCTTCTTTCGCCTCCCTCCAGAAGATACTTTCCTCCTCCCTATTCAGCTTTCCTTATTTTCATTTTATTTTGTGTTCATTTTTATCTTCATTTTCTTCTTTAGGTTTCTTCTTCTTTCTTTTTATACTCTTCTTTTTCTTCTGTATCAGTGTTTCTCGAACTTTCAATAACTGCGGACCACTGCATGGACGGTCGGAGCCTATGCTCACTGCTCAGCTATCATAACAATCCCCTGTAGCCACGAGGAGTATGGAATTGCGCTTGTTTCAGCGAATATGAGAAAAATGATAGTTGAAGCTGCATCAGTCACTTTTCCCTATTAACCATTTTAAACAAGTTTTATGAATCAATGATTTATCACAGTTATTTCACTTAAATGATTTTATTTATTGCATGCCATGCTATACTACATGAACAATACAATGCTACAGATCATCTGGTGGACCACCACGTACCACCATTGCTTCGCGGATCACAGTCTGAGAAACAGTGCTCTACATGTTCTGTCTTTTTCATTCCCTCTGGATTTCCCCCACTATTTCTTACTCATTTATTTTTTATTCTCCTCCATTTTCCTAAGCATCATGACAGAATAAGAGCACTTTTTTTGTTTCGTTTTCTCACGTTTGCTGACGAGGACCATTTTATTTTTCCGTCTGTAAAACCAACGGCTCCACCTCCTGCTACTGCAATGTTGATTTCTTCTCCCATGTGGCTGCACCCTCTTGTCAAATTTACTTCTCGGCCTTCAGAAATTTTGTTGAAAATAAGTCAAGTTTTTTCTAATTGGATATGAGGCTGCCTTGTACTGTTAGGCCAGGAAATGGGTTTCTGTTTAAGTTAATCGTGTCAGGTATGTTTTGAGAAACCTTTTTCATTTTTCTTTTAAAACGTCTACTGACCAGTGTTGACCAAATGTGAATCCGGCGTGACATATTATCGTGACAATGAAAGAAAAAACAATGGACCTAATAACGAAATAAAAAATACAGAGACAAGTTTAAATGTTTCATTGTCATTTTGGGGTTCTGATTAGTAGAAAATTTAATTTTGGAGAAACTTTTCGTTTTACTTGAATCATGCTTACGTAGAGAAGTATCCTTCTGTATTAATAAACGTGGAATGAAATACTCATATTAAAATATTTTATATGGTAAAGTTAGTTATTTAATTTTTAACACCAAATTTTAGACAAGCTGAATGACGACAGTTAAAACAGTAGAACTGACAACAACTGAACAGTCAGCACCAGTCAGACTTTGCTTACAGTACTGTAAGCTTCCCTTTAGACTGGCCCCCACCTTGCTCATGCAGTGTTGGTCTTGCGACAATGACAGATATCATTTGTATGGGCGATTTAACTGTTATAAACAATATGATAACAGTAACAAAAAGTTATTTGGTAATTAATAATAAGATTATTTGCAAGATTTTTTATCATTTCCACTCATCACAAGTTGGAAAGTATTTAACAGCGTATTTTTTTCGCTTGAATTCACGTAGCGGTATGTCCGAATATGTTCAGAGCGAAGTGAATGCAGTTGACAGATTGGACGTGACCCACTAACCGTAGGTTGTACATGCCTTGCTGACAGTCTGACAGAACTTGTATGACAAAGGAACAAGATCTTCCTTCACCCGGTGTGATCGAATACTTTGTAGTAGCAAGAAGTGGCTGTCTTCGACAATTCAAACAGTGGGATCGTAGGTTCAAGTCCCACTTGAGGCATGGATGTGTGCTTACCTTCGTTCTGTGTTTGTGTTGTCCTGTGTAGGTAGCGGCCTTGCGACGGGCTGCTCCCCCGTTCAAGGAGTCCTACCGACTGTCTCTAAGATTAAGGAAGTGCAGTGAAGGGAAGCCTTTCACACATGCCCTGCCCTCAAGAGCAGGGCAGCAGGAAACTTGGTTGAGTCAGAAGTGACACCACAGATAGAAGCATGTGATGACAACCGGTTCGTGTGAAGCAAACAAATCTATTCCTATTTGGGATTTACCACCCTTTCTTCCCTCCGCCTCTCATGTCCGTACATCCGAACCTGTTATTCTGTGTCTAATATCCTTGTTATTGGTTTATTACTCATGCTTCATCAACTGTTTGCGAATTGGATCCTTGACTACAGTGGACCTTGAAATTATAGTAACAAAAGATGGAATCAAAATGGCTGGTAAATGATTCCAGGTTTAATGAAAATCGGTCCAGTATTATTGGTCCTGTCGTATCTGGAAAACTGATAAGGGGACACTAATGGACAGTTTTTGTTTTCCTTTTCTTTTATTTTAGGCGCGTAAAGTTCCTCACGAGAAACTATTAAAATGCTTCTGCCTGTCTGTTCGTTCATACGTATAAAATAACTAGAGAACCGCTTAGGAGATTTTTATGAAAGATTTATGTTGGAGCGTGTCACTGAAATCTGCCAACATACTTCAAATTTAGGTAAATCGGACGGAAATAAATAACACTTCATATGAAGATCTACATGCGTTTCTACGCCTCCATAGGATTTACCGAGGCGAAAAATTGTCTGGAACAAACTTCATGGTGAAAAATGAGGAATATAATTTATGTTCGATACTAATTTCCTTAAGTCATAAATACACAGTTACACATAATTACACAATGTGAATGAAACCGACAAAATTATCATATGCTTTCAATTCCAACTTGTTATAATAAATAATCAACAATCGACAAAGGTTATTCAAAGACATGCGAAGATTTATGAGGTCCTTCTTTGTCGGTAATTAAAAAAGCGAATCTTCAACCGGAGCTTATAGGTCTACGTGTGTATTAACTTGAATTTAATTAAAATATACTTGTAGGTGCTGCTAAAACATTTATTTATTACAATTTTAAATTTGTGTTTTCAAAACTAAGAACGGCGAATGAAGCGACAGAACTGTGCGCCGTGTACTCTTCATATTGTCACGTGTTAAGTGACTAGACACATGGTTCCGATTTACTACTGAATTTATTGAATGCTTGTTACTCTAACTGACCGCCTCTGTGGTCTAGTGGTCAGAGTTCCTGCCTACAAATCCACAGGTCCCGGGTTCGATTCCCGGCTCTACCAGATTTTCTAAGAAATAGTGGAGCTGGAACGGGGTCCTCTCAGCATCGTGAGGATAATCGAGGAGGTATTTCAAGGAAATAGCGGCTCCGATCTGGAAAACCAAGATTAACGGCCGTGGGGATCCGTTGCGCTGACCACTTGACACCCTCTATCCGCTAAAGTTGGCACTAACTTCGCCGACAAGCGGCGGTCGCTCGGTCGGTATAGCTCGCCTGCGGACTACAGGCCACGGAATTTTTGTACTCGTAAGTACAAATACTTAGAACACATTCACTATTCTACACAATCTACAAATAAGGTCAGCACATTGCCAGACCTTCTGGTCTGATTTACTGAGGGTCCACCCTGACGCCATTTGTAGGAAGTACTGCACAGTTAGGTCCATATCGGGCAATCCTGTCTGGCGATCGTCAGTGATGATCTTGTAATATTGCCCACAAGATGTGTCCTGTCTCTTATCTGTCCCTTGGCGTTCAGACTGCCCCCCCCCTGTTGTCGACACGCTTTCTAATGAAGAGGCTGGGTTACGCTCTTCCTCACGTTAAAGCCGTTTGCAGAAGATACACTGCAGCTTGTAGCTACTCCAATTCGTGAGAGGCCAAAGATCTTACGTCTTTCGTTTTTTTTAGCTTACGTCGTTCTCAAATTTTACATTTAAATTTAACATTGAGTGAACCTGTAGCACGAATGGGGGAGAAGTGGAATGCATGTAGGGTATTGGTGGAAAAGCCAGAAGGAAAGAAGACACTAGGAGGAACAAGATATAGGTGGGTAAATAACTGAACGCCCTCAGGTTGCCTTCAGAGAAGGACTCAGTTCCATGAAAACGCTGTTTCACTTTCAAGGCGGGGATAGAGCTTAGAGGTATGGAAAGCTAATGGTGTTTGACTACTAGTTAAGGATTTAGACAACAAGACCTATGGTTAATCATGGAAAAATCATGTGGTCTCCTACATTTACAATCAAAAACGACGAATTGACAGTCAGAGTAGTTATTAAATCATCTGGAATTGAAAATCTGGCATTTTCCGTACAAAATACAATATTCCTATTGCTGTATGAACGTGGTCGGTGTCTGATACAAGGCTTTTTACCTCCCGCTCATCATAAATTGCAGAGACAACAAGAAAAGGGAAATTATTACTCAAAACCTTGTATCCAAATAGAGATTCGGAGATCAAGGAAGCGGAAATGTGAAGCTGTGAAAGGAGCTGTATTTTTCCAAATTCATTTTTCCAGTTCCTTCTCTAAGGAAATTCA